GGGCAGGAGCACAAGCCATCTGGAGTGGTTAAGTCTGTGGGATTTGGGGGTTAATTTGAAGTGGGTATAGGAAAAAGGGAGAAACATCAGATTTCTCACTTGGCTTCTGGGATGGATGTGGTGGTGTCAGGAACTGATACAGGGAACACTGGAAGTGGCTCTGGTTAAGGAGGTGTGAGAATGAGCTCAGGTCTGGATATACTGAGTTTGAGGAGCCTGTGGCACATTCTCAGGGGAATGTCTATAGCATGTTAAATAGGTAACAGTTATAAAAGGTTGTAAAATAATTAAGTCAACAAATATCTGTAGACCACCTACTATTGGGTAGACACTCTTGTAGGCATCAGGACTGTAGTTATGAAAAAGTCTGTTTTATGGAGATATCTTCTCGTAGGATGAAGACAGATAATAATGAAGTCAATCAGTAAAATAAATTCAGAATTGTTATTAAGAAAGAAGTGGGTAATGTAAAAAGTCTCATTGAGAAGATAACATTGGAGTTGTGTCCTGAGTGTTTAGAAGGAAACTTTCATGTGAACACCCTGGGCTTAAAGTATTCCAGGCAGAGGGCATAGCAAGTGCAAAGGTCCTGAGGTAGGAATGAGCCTGGTAAGTTAGAGAAAGACAGTCAGTGAAGCTAAGCTCAGTGAGTGAGGAAGTGCAGTGCGGTGAAGTTGAAGAGGGAGGCAGGCATGGGATCAGGGAGGGCTTCAAGCCATGGTGAAAAGTCTGGATTGCATTCCAGGGAATATTGGGAAGGCTTTGGAGGATTTTAACCTGGGTACATGGCTGCTAATGTTATCATTTTAAATGATTAAAACCAGTATCCAAAATTGTATTTATTGTATGCTCTCAACTTACATAAAACAATATGGGGAAAAGGCCTTTAAGGAAACTTGTCAAATGATACTGTGGATCGAGAGAGGTGGCTTCATGCAGTGGTCACTGCTGTGAATACTGAGGTCAGAGTACCAGGCCTAGAGCTTGGACCTGACACTTGCTAGGCCAGCAGTTCCCAAACTTTATGATCTCTAGATCCTATCTATCCATATATATGATATTAGAAATTAAAATGGAGAAAAATTTTAAATTCATTTATTATTCATTAAAAAAAGTAAACCCAGAATGTTTACCTAAGTGGCATATTTTAATGGAAAAGAAAAAGACCGTATTTTCCAAAACAAAAAATAAGTTAGTGTGAAGAGTGTCATTTTTTATACTTAATCTCTTACTATTTGGCATAATAGGAGGTAGTTGGATTCCATATCTGCTTCTGCATTTAGTTGGTTGTGTTATCACAAGCCATATACATTTATGCGAGAATGAGAGTGAAAAGGGCAAATAAATAACTTCTTTGTATCATTGTGTGAAAATAGTTTTCGTGGACCCTCTAAAGTTCCCCTAGACCACACTTTGGAAATCTTTGTGTTCGATGTATGACATTGAGCAATCTCCTAACCTTGATGGGCCTCAGTTTCCCCATCTGTCATTTGGGGGCTACTAATAGCACTGACCTCATAGGGTTGTGAGGATTTCATGAGTCAATATATGTGAAGTCCTTAAACTAGTGCCCGGTACATAGTAGGTACTCAGTAAATATCAACTAATTTTCTTTTTCTTATTGTGATTCTGACTGGCAGTAAAAACTCTTCCAAGAAATTGTGAAAATTCACTTAAGCTTTGTTCTCACTAATTTTCCCTTCCCGTCCTCTTTTGCTGCGGTTGTGAAATGCAGCTTCAAATCCGAGTGCCAGCTTACAAATGCTGCTGTCAAACGATCGTAGGTATTGGTGCTAGCCAGTTTGTGATGACGGTGGCACTTTCTGCCAGAACATCAGCTACTTACAGTTTAGCAGGCCATAATTGCCCCGGCTCTACACTTTTTCCTAATACCTGAAATCTTCTCTTCTCCATGAGTGGAAGTTGGGTGATGGATGAGGTGGAGAAAGAATAAAGTGGTTTGACAGCAGCAGGTTCCGCTTGGGGCTACAAGACTTCATTTTAACTGCTTTCCCCCTCATATTTTCTAAACTACAATCATGAAATGAATTGATATATTTGAGGAATGGAGGTCAGATGCCATCATCAAATATTTGAGGACTTGGGTCAGCTGCTTCTCTTTTTTTTGGATGAGGGTGACTGAAATTCTCAATCTTGGCTTCGCAGTGGAATTACGTGGGAAAAATTTAAAACTACCGATGTCTGGGTCATCCCACCCGCCAAAGATACTGATTTAATTGGCCTGGGGTGTAGCATGGGCATCAGGGTTTTTTAAATCTTCCCAGCTTTGCCAGGCTATGATTCAAAAAGGTCATGTATTTTCTTTTTTTTTTATTGTAGAATACAACAAATCTACAAAAAAGTACCTGATACTTAAATGAACACCCATGTAACTATGATCCAGTGCAACAAACAGAATGTTGCCAAACTCCCAGTAGCTCCCCTCACCTTTTCTTAGCCATAGCCTTTATCCAGCTCTAGAGGTAACTATTACTTTGACATTTTATAATCACTTAGTTGCTTTGTTTTTTAATTTTATCATATTAGTATGAATCCCTAAACAACATAGCATAGATTGGCACATTTTGAACTTTATTGAAATTGAATCATATTTTTTTTTTGGTCTGGCTTCTTTTGTTCAACATTATATTTTTTATTCATTTGTGTTTTTGGAGATGGCTGTAATTTCTTGATTTTCATTATTCTGTAGTATTCCATTGTATCAATAATTAGAGTGTCTTTTTCTATTCCACCCCTGAGAGGTGTTTTGTTTGTTTCAGGTTTGGAGCTATTACAACCAGTGCTGCAATGAGCACTTTCATACAAGATGTGATAAAAAGTTATGGTGAATGTTTAATTAAAAAAAAACAAACTAGTACATATAAGACACATTGCCATTAATCCCCCTCAAAATACTCCCTTCACTTCTAACATACTTAGCCCATTATTCTTGCCACTTTCTGAAGCAGTTCTGGAAGTCCTCTTTCATGAGTGTCTTTAGTTGTTCTGTCATGGCTGCCTCAATGTCCTGAATCGATGCAAAATGTTTTCCTTTCATGGTCATTTTGACTTTGGGGAAAGAGCCAGAAGTCACATGGTGCCGGATCCAGTGAATGAGGTGGCTGAGGACACACCATGATGTTTTTATTTGACAGAAATTGTCATACCAGAAGCGATGTGTGACATGGAGCCTTTTGGTTATGATCACAAAATACGGTGAACGCTGCTGCTGAGTGCCATCCAATGGAAAGGCAGGGATCTTCAATAAGGGAAGCAGCACATAGAATCTTAGTAACAGTGTGTGACAAATTTCAACTTGTTTGGGGCAGTCAGTCTGGTGTGAGCTATGGTTGAGATAAGGTGTGTTTTAAATTGTGCCGTAAATAACCCTCCATCATGACAAAACACTCTGTGTCACACATCGCTTCTGATACGGCAATTTCTGTCAAATAAAAACATTACTGTGTGTCCTCATCTACCTTATTCACTGGATCTGGTACTGTGTGACTTCTGGCTGTTCTCCAAAGTCAAAATGATTCAGGATATTGAGGCAGCCATGGCAGTGCAACTAAAGACACTCATGAAAGAGGACTTCCAGAACTGCTTCAGAAAGTGGCAAGAACGATGGGATAAGTGTGTTTGAAGTGAGGGGGAGTATTTTGAGGGGTATTAATGGCAATGTGTCTTTTACTGTAATAATTTCTTTAAAAAACTTAAACATTCACAGTATTGTTTGATCACACCTTGTATGTCTCCTGGTACATGAAGGCAGATACTCTGAACTCATGTATCTAGGTGTAGAGGTGCTGAATGCATTCGCACATGAGAAGGAAGAGAGAGACTGAGCTGTAATTCCAACAGACTCTGGTTAGATAGGAGTTGGCATCTGGGGCCCTGTTAAAGACTCCTACTCTGGGCTGTGACCCTGGAGAATTGCATACCAATACTTGTTGCATGCAACATTTTCTTAAATGTCACTTCTCAGTGAGACCCTCTCCAATCACCTTATTATAAATACAACCCTCCTATATTTCCTATTCCCCTTTTCTCTCTACTACTAATTATCTTCTAACTCACTTACCCCATATATGTTTTCTGCCCTCATTAGATTGCAAGTTTCATGAGGAATTTTTCTCTAAATGATCATGTTGAATTACCATTGCTTAGAACCTAGTGGTTCTAGCACATAGTGGTCTCTCAATAAATATTTATTAAATGAATAAGTGTATGAGTCTATGATATCAGAGTGGTAGGACAGAAATTTGTTAGGAGCAGAATACCTAGATTTTAAGCTTTGCCTTTGCCTGTTTTAAGCTCTGTAACTCTGAAAGATTCTGTAATGAGTACATCTCTATGTACTCATTAACAAAGTGGGGGTATAATACCTGTTTTATATGCCTCACCGACTATTAGTAAGGCTCATGCAAGGAAGTACTCTATATAAGTGTGAGGGGCTATTTTTATTATCTTACTTGTTTATACCAAATATCCTGGGCTGCTAGCTCCATGTCCACCTAACTTTAAACCATTCCCAAGAAAAAGTTCTCAGGGTAGAGCTGACAGGTTAATTTCTACATCTCCCTCTGAAGATTTTAGTAGATCCTTTCTGTATCACTCTAGATTAGATCACTGGATTCATTATAAGCCATTGAAAACCTGAAGAATGAAATAACAACCCACCACAAGGGTCCAGAGCCTTGTATATGTCCAGTGTTGTGTTAGGTGCTCTATATATGTGATCTCCTTTCATCCCCAGTACAACTCTGCAGGGAGAGTATGGCTTCATGTTAATATGAAGAAATGGAAGTTTAGAGAGATCTAATACCCCCACTAAGGCAGCAGAGCTGATAAGAGACAGGGCCTGGGGGAGTACTCATGTCTGTCTGACTGCAAAACTGAACTCTCACCCACCTCAGGAAACTGAGATATTTAATCCAAGAGCCAGTAGGTGAATAGCCTCACTCCTGGTGTTTCTCACTGATGTGTTATTTCTTTTTCAGACTGTCTATGACCAGTGGTTCATTACCCTTTTTAACATTGTCTACACATCACTGCCTGTTTTAGCCATGGGGATTTTTGACCAGGTATGTGTTTTTCTCTATCCTTATAACTTATTTTGCTCTGTTGATGCCTTTTAATTGTTTCTAACTTCTAAGTAGAAGACACAAGCCATTGGAAGGAAGCTTAAGAGTGCAGTTGTTTTAATAGATACTGTATGGATCAAAAACCCTTCCAGTGCCCCCATCGCCCCAAAAGGGTTCTCTGATCAAAGTTTGGCTGCTCTCCTCTTAGAGATTTATATCCCGTATTATTGCCCTTAAGGCTCTGAGACATCCTGTAGGATATAGTTTCTTTGACTTCATTTTAGGTCAGCATTTCCCAAAGTCATGTGACTGTACTTTTACTTATCTATTTTTCACATATCACTTCTTAATGTGCCTCAGGACTAGTGCCTTGTGGTTCATACACCAGGAAGTCCCATATGAGCCTCTGAGGGTATAGAGAACCACGAGTGATAGAAAACCGTGGAACTAGGTTGGAGTGTAGAGAGCTAGCATCTGTGGTGAGACTTCCTTGGCCAGCACAGCTCAGAACAGGAACTACAGGCCAGCAGAGCACCCTCCCAATGGGAGAGGAAGACCCAAACCCTACAGCCATGGAGAGAAAGAGTGCAGTCTTCTTTTGTTTCGCTCAAAATGCTCGCGAGGAGAAAAGGGAGGGGATCATTTACAAAAATGGTGGCTTCTTGGCACCCCCGGAGCCTTGGAAGATATTTCCTGCAAGAGAGAAAAAGCCTGGCTGCCTGTGGGGAAGTGGAAGGCTAGCCAGAGGACTTTCCATGGCACAATTAGAGTGTATTATTTTAAAAAAATTTTTTGAAGTATTTTTAAGGAGACCAGATTTTCTCCAGGCTGTTGTTAGACCCATTTGCTAGGCCTCATTTTCTGGCCCAAAGCCATCTATTGCAAAATATAAATCTTCACATTATGAGCTCACTCCACTCTCTCATTCTGTGGTTTTATAGTCAGTTATAAGTCTCATTTTTTCATATGTAAAAATGGCAGTTTGTGAATGGCATAGTTTATGGAATTCTACACAAAATAATAGACTCCTAAAGACCTTAGATGTAAAGGATTTAAACACATTCATTTCCCAGTGCCCATGTTGACAAGTAATTCTTTCCTTAGTGCTTTGTATCTGCCCAGAATGTGGAATAAAATAAAAAATAAAGTAGTTTTTGGGAAAAGATGGTTATTGTGCAATTTGAAAAAAAATATATAAGCCCCTATTGCCATCCAGTTGAGCGTCTGCCCCTTTTCTTTCTCGCTTTGTCAACACTGGTCCTTAAACTGATCACAGGATCATGGAATCCTATGCTGGAAGGACCTCAGCGATCACCTACAGATCACTCATTTTATATGGAGGAAGCCAAAGCTCCAAGGTTCAAGTCACTGTCCTAAACCCATATGGCCAACAAGTGATAGAACTCAGCCTAGCACCAGGCCACTTGACTCAGAGGCTGCTATGCTATTACTGTTTTTATTATCACTATCATTATTGTATTTGTTATTATTTATAGAGGCATCGGTTATTTATTACGTATGCTGTGGCAAGAACTCTGCTGAACACATACTCATTTAATCATGACAGTGGTCCTGTGAGGGAGGTGCTGTTAGCATTTCTGTAAGTGAGGAAACCAAGGCTCAGAGGTTCAGGAACAGGTTGAAGGTTACACATCTGCTAAGCTGCAGAGCCGGGGTTTGAACTCAGAATTACCTGGTTTCAAAGCCTGTGCACATAATCCCATCAGTCACTGGGCTGGGGAAACAAGCACTCAGCAGATCTCAAAATAGGACTACCTGAAGGGAATATGCCAGTGTTCATGGGACCCCATCCAGCAAGCCCCAGGCCATCCCACAAGCAGAAAGGCAGACTTGGTCTGCCCCCCGAGTTTGTGCCTGGGCTCCTTCCTCTTTGGCTGCTTCTCCCCCACCCATGGTCCTCTGATGTCCTTGCCTTCCTTTTTGGTTTTGGCATTTGGCTTTGGTGCTCACAGTGTGGTCATCAGCATTACTTTGGAGCTGGTTGGAAATACAGAGTCTCAGGCCCCACTCCAGACCGACTGAATCATCATCTGCTCCCCAGGTGGTCTTACATTAAGTTTGAGAAGCATTGTTTTCATTTCTCCCAGGACCCCTGTTAGAGCCAAACTTGATGCCGTCTCATTCTGTCGAAATCCTTTGTCCTGAACACCATTGGAATCCTCACTGGGTAGAACACTCAGCTCTTCAGGCTCAGCTCCCTTCCCACCTGGAATCCCACATGCGATTTCTCCCTTTCCTTGTCCCCCTCTTCCTGCTCTCCCTCTCCCTACAGTTGGGAACTCTGATTGGCCAGTTCTATCTCCGCAGTTCTCGCTCTGCTGCCATCACCTAGTCACTACCACTCACTGCCTTGGCAGTTAACCCCCGGGGGCCCATTGACTGCAAATGATATATTAGAATTCTGGGAGCATGAGTGCAGCTGCAGAGAGTATAGGAAACAAACTTCAATTTGAAGCCAAATATCCAGGTGCAAGTCACGCTCTGGTTCTGCTGTAAGAGCTGCGTAACCGCTCATGAATCTCTCTTAGAGACTCAAACCCCTCCTTTATAAAATAGGGATCATTTTAGTATCCTCTGGGTTATTGCGGGAATGAAAACAAGATGAGGAGTGCATGTGAGGGCATGCCTAGACAGGTACTTGCTATTTCTGGAGATAGGGAATTCAGGGCCTCTCTGACTTCTCCTCAAACCTCCTCCACTGAAGTAACACTCTGTTGACAGGACGTGAATGACCACAACAGCATGGACTGTCCCCAGCTCTATGAACCTGGACAGCGGAATCTACTTTTTAACAAGAATAAATTTTTCATCTGCATGGTACACGGAATCTACACCTCGTTAACCCTTTTCTTCATCCCCTATGGGGCCTTTTACAACATGGTCGGAGAAGATGGGCAGCACGTTGCTGACTACCAGTCTTTTGCAGTTACCATGGCCACATCATTGGTCATTGTGGTCAGTGTGCAGGTAATCCTGTTGGTGAAAACATCTTAACTTGAAGGCTTTACAACTTGTAAAAATCTGTTTCATAGTTGACTGGTTTTGTCTACTTCTTGGGGAAAAACAATAATCCTAAAAAAAACTGGGATTATCTTTTTAACTACACATTTTGAGATGAGTGTAAGACGAACCTCTTGTGGTAATCATTTCACAATATATGTAAATTAAACCATCATGCACTCCACCTTAAACTTATATAGTGATGTATATAAATTATTTCTCATAAAACTGAAAAAAGAGAGAAAGAAAACATGAAGCTCTAACATAAATTAGCATTAGGTGTCTATAACCTCCAGTTAGTAGAAACCTCACAATGAATCACTTTTTGGGGTTGAGCATTGTATGTAAAGAGATATGATTATACTACAGTTTCCTTCTGGTGTTTGAAGAAAATTTTCCACTTATAACACAGGGTGAAACTTCCTCATGATTCTATTAGACTTAATAATTTCTAGGCTTTAAAGTGAGATCTAAAGTTTATTTGGCAATGCCTTTCCTTGGAATTATTCAAGTGGTTTAATGTTATACGTGTGGTGCCTCTGAATCTCAAGTTCCGAGAAGCTCTTCTGGTGGGGATGGTTTTTTGGGTTCCATTGATCTTCCACTGGGCATCTTGAATTGTGCTTCTATTTCCTTTTAAATTCAAATGGTGGACAATACTATTAGATATGGAGATAGTGGTTCCAAAAGCTTCCTGATCCATTAAAATCTGTAGCTCTGGGTGGGTACAGAAAGCAATGTGGTTTCTGTTTTTTTATTTGTGTTTTGTTTTTGTTTGTTTGTATTTCTTTATTTTTAAGGGGCAAGTATCAATCAAGGGCTTAATTTTTATAGAGTTTGAGTTGCCTTTGGTCAGTCCTTTTCCTATCTTCTAAACAATCTCTTTTACGAATCATAGCTGCTCATGTCCAACAAAGCATCTCATGAAGCCCAGACTTTCTCGTCATGACTCAATAAGTATTAAATAGATTGAATGGATCAAATGTAAACATATTGCTTTTAAATGGCATCTCTGCCATTCCTTGGCCCATTTAAGTAACTTTCATTAAGTCCATACCAAAGCCAGCTAATAATACTTGACATCTTGAGAGTTCAAAATTTAGAGAGTCAGAGAGGTAGCATCCAAAAGCAGAATCAGATTACTCCACTCGGCAGAGTTCAGTTTGTCTGTTTCACAAGTAAATAAAGCATACTGATGCTTTGTGAACCCTCCAAGCCTAGCTCCTCTATGTTCAATTTTTCAGCAGAGGAAGAAATCATGGCTTGACTTGGAAGCATCCGACATATAAAGCATTCATCAGGAGTATCCATTATCAGGATAAGGTCTATATCACCTCACAAGAAATTATTGCTCCATCTTTTCTTGTAGGTCTTGCCACTATATTGGGCTATGTTTTGTTCTGTTTTCTTTTGATCACTGAGCAAACTCTGTGTGTACTCTTATAGTTCCAGTCCACAGAATTGGGTGGTTTTCTCCTTGTCATGAAAGTACATTTCCAGTTCTCTGGATTCTCCTTCCAGTCGGGAGGGCAGTTGTGAGATACATAGAGACATCTTTTTAGTAGTACAGCTTATTCATCTCCAGGTCAGACCTATTACTTGGTACTCTAAGAGGTGATTGGGAAGGTAGTAACAGGGCCAATATCTGAAGAAAAAAGTAAAGGGAAATTATTCTTCAAACTGTCCTTAACATTATCTGCTATTGTAGTAAGGGTAAAAAACTACCTGGACAATTTTTTGTAGATATGACAGGCATTATATGTTTTTAGTGAAACTGGTTTTCACAATTAAGTCTACAATTTTAGTTAACTTTATCTTTTTAATTAAAAAAATGTCTGTTGGTATTCTTATATATCATTTTCTCTTTTTCCTTTTGCTTATCTCTAAATTATTTTCTGATAACACTATAACAGCAATGCCAATGCTGTTTCTATAGTAACTTTAGATTTAGGAGTTGTTCCCCCATAAATCACACAGTTCTTGTTACAGTTGGTTGTCACAATTACATTTCTGCTTTTTTCACAAGTTGAGGGATCATAAAAACAACCTCATTTACAAATATTATTTATTCACAGAAAAGATCACAGAATTTAACATTCTGTTATTCTGAGTCTTTCAAATAAACTATTCAAAATTTCTTACCTTGGTTATCAAAGTTTTATAAGAATGCTACCCATGCTTTCTCAGAGGGATTTATACTTAGAACTCCAAAATCCCTCATTCAGGATGCTTTGGGTGGGGATTTCCAGATCCGTCTGGTTCAGGCCTAACTCACTATTTGTCTCTCCAAGATCCATTCTCTGCCTTCCATCTCCTTGAGGGCAACTGTGATCTACCTAGTTTCTCTCTAATATTAACACTAACATCTTACATAACTATTGTGCAATGGTCAAAACTATGAAATTAATGTTAGTACAATACTATTAACTGAACACAGATAGTCTCAATTTTTCCATTAATGACCTTTTTCTGTACCAGGATCCAATCCAGGATCCCACATTGCATTAGGTTGTCATATCTCCTTAGTCTCCTCCAATCCCTAACAGTTCTATAGCCTTTCCTTGTCTTTCAGGACCTCGACACTTTTGAAGAGTACGATGGTCAGGTATTTTGTAGAATGTTCCTGGTTTTTTTTTAGGAAATGGACTGACATTTTGGATGTGAGGGAAGAATCACAAAGAGATATGCTCTTCTTGTTGTACTTGATCAGGGAACACATGATGTCAGCATGATTTATTACGGTGATGCTGATCTTGGTTAAGATGATATTTTTTGGGTTTCTCCATTGTAAACTGACTATGTTTACCTCTTCATACTCTGTCCATTAGAATTGAGTCATTAAGCCCTGCCCACATTCAAAGGGAGGAGAATTAAGCTCCATTTCCTAGAGAAAGGAGTTTCCAAGAATTGGTGGTCATATGTTAAAACCATAACAGGTATAATTTTAAATAAAATTGATATAACAAACTGGGTTCCAAGATTTGCCCAAGACCACACAGTGACTTGCCTTCCAGGTTCAGGATTAGGATTCAGTAGTCTTATTTCCCAAGTAAAAGTCCTTTAATAAATGTATTTGTGAGTGTTGTATGACAAATGTGAAGCAAGCATTTCCTACAACACAATTATTACTGAGCTGCAGGGTAATTAGTCATTGTTGAGAAGCAGCAATGCACACACACGGAGTTGTATTTCAACTCCATTGGTGGCTGTGATCTCTTTGTCATGTTACAGGGCTGAAGTCTTCTAAATCTCATCCACATACTTCCATCCCATAGGTTTCTCCTCGACCTGATTCCTTCATGCCCTCACCCACCATTAATTCTGAGTGCTGGAGGGGCCTGAAACAGACAGGAGACTGAGGAACTTTCTGGGCAGGGGAATAAGTAGGAGAGAGCCAGGCTAGAGATGGTGACCTAGAAGCAGAAAGGATGAGAATGGATACCAGCTTCCAATGTCTGGCATGCTTTGTTTATTACTGTGCTCTGTACTCCAATTTAAACTACAGTGCCAGATACAAATAAGCATTTGTTGAATGACTGTAAGGGCAGAGGGATAGAGAGAGGTTAACGTTGAGCAAAGGAAATGAGAAGAATTTGGTTGAGGTACCCAACTATTCCTACTATATTAGTTACATGCCCATCTCACCCTAGATGACTAAAGCAAGCCTGTCATTGGTGGTAGGCTTCTGAACCTGAATGATCATAACCACTATGAGTAATATCATGCATCATACTTAGTCCTTGCAATGCCACTATGCAGTAGGTATTATTGTCCCCTTTTACAGATGAAGCTCCCAGAGGTTAAACGACTTGCCTGAGGTCACACAGTGAGTCTCAGATCAGGACTGGAACCCAGCCAGACCTGCCTGACTCCAGCGTTGTCTGTGAAAAAGTCTTATTTTAGAGTAAGATGGGTTAAAATGCAAATTTTCAGCAAGTATGAGAACAGAGGTTGCACTGAGCATAAAGCAAGATACCAGATGCTTTCTTGTTTATATAGGAGAAAAAAAGAAGTCATAAAGTTAGAAGCACTGGGGTTTGGCAGAGAGAGAATATCTGGAAAAGTAGAGAAAGGAGAGGTTACAGACCCTGAGAGCAAACTTGCCCCATTTGCCTCTGTCAAGGCTTCTGGTTTTCAGAGTAACAAGGGCAGCTCCCATTAATTGAATATTTACTATGTAAATGAATTATTACTGAGATAATCCCATTATCTCATTTACTCTTCTTCACAGCCCTCTGAAACATAGATACTATTGCTACAGGTAATAGACTTGAAAAAATAGACTTGTTATAGTTCAAGTGACACAGAAAGTGGCAGGCCAGGGTTTTAACACAGATCTGACAGCAGATCCCCAACTCCAAAGTCATGTGGACCTCCGTTTTATATAAAGATGACTGGAAGCTATGAGCCTTCACAAATACATATAGCCACAGGGAACTCACGTCCACCTCCTTCCATGAGGGGGTACCTAGGACACCGATATCACCCTCAAAATAAAGGAGAGAGAAACTGTTAATAGGTGAGTAACACACACAGATCCTCTTTCAACATCAAAATTTCAACTTGAGGACTATGTAAATTCTTAATTACTGTCGTTTCAGCCTAACACTTATCTTTATAGCTAAGAAGCCCTAAAAATGTCTACTTTACCATAGAATTCTAAGACCTGAGTATGTAAATATTTATAACCATGAAAGCTCAGCAATTTTGGCTTCAATCAGAGACTGCTGTTCTTAATATATAGAAAAGTAAGGAATTTTGTGAATAAGCTCACTTTGACAGTGGCATTAATATCCTTTTCTCTCTAAGCTTGACTTGTCATTGTGGTAACAATCCGGATGAAATTTCCATGTTCTATAATTAGTTATAAGTCTTATGTACATGTCCTGCTGATGCTATAGGCCAAACTTTAGCACTCTATTTTTTTTTAAATACCAGGTGTTTTTTTTTCAGTTATTTGAATTATAAAATATTCTTTTAAACATTTCAAATAATATAGAAGTGTTTAAAATAAAGCAAACCATCTTCCTTTCCTTCCCTATACTCTCCTGGTTAACTGCTATTATGATAATTATAGCTTAATCTTTCCATATTTTTTTCTTTGCTTTGAGACACACACACATATTTAAGAGACAAGGATCATATAGCTATGCATATTATTCTGTAATATGCTTTTTTAACTTAATGAGATATGCTGGACAACTTTCCAAATCAACACATTCAGGTCTACCTTAATCTTTTTAAGAGCTGCACAGATTTTTGTAATGTAGTTATATCATAGTTTATTCATCCGTCCTCTGTTGATAGACATTCAAGATGTTTATTTTCTTCTTGTTATTGAAGCAATGCTGCCATGCATATGTCATATATTAGTATATATATTTTATGTACTGTCAGAGAAATTCCTAGAAATGAAATTTCTGGAGTTAGAACTCCTAACTTTCACCAATCTGATGGATGAAAATGGTATTTTTTTTTTCCTTTTCACTGCTGAGTCAGAAAGTATGTACATTAAATTTACATTAAATTTCATGAATATGGCCATATTGATTTCCAAATACTATAGTTACAAACAACAGAGACTTCTTTAATTTAAGTGAAAAAAAGGTTTATTAAAAGTGACTATGCAGCTCCAGAATCTTCAGAAGGACAAACGAAAGAGGGAAGGCCACAGTGAGGCCTAGCCATGGGAAGCAGCACCCAACCACGTGGCTGTGTCGTTGTAGAGAAAACATTAGCTTGGTTCTCACCATCGTGGATGGCAGGTCAGCCACTGACTTCCAGTGAATAACCACCTCCACCATGAGGCTTGTCAAATGCTGAGAGAAGTGTACCAGTGTTTCCCATTGTGCTTATGATTCTTGTCAAGCTCTCCTTGTGTTTCAGGGAGATTTTACCTTTTATAATCTGAGGCTGTATTATTTGCCATGTAATGGTTCTCAATTATTATTTGTTCTTTCTACAAATATCTTTTTTCTTTTTTATCTTTTTTCATGACAAAATATCCTTATTTAAATTTCAATTTTTAATATGTTTTACTTTTCTTAGTCTGCATTTGCTGGTATATAATCTGGCCCCATCCCTTCATTTTCATTCCTTTTTTTTCCTCTCATTCTATTAGTTTTTGTCTTTTGATAAAGGAGTTAAGCTACTTATTCTCTTACAATGACTTATGTATTTCACCTTGTTCCTTTCATGTTATTTCATGATAACTTTTAATTCTACCTTTTTATTTCCATTTTTTCCTTTACATACTTGGATGCACTGCTTGTCATGAATAATTTTCAAGTTTTACTAGTGTATTCCCATTTACCAGTGATTTCTCCCTATTTTCATAGTCATTTTAATCTCTATTTCTATACTAATAAACCAATAACTAAATAATAACTATATCTTCCACCAAATGTTTCACTATTCCATTCTGCCCCTTCCATCATCCAACTCCAAGTTAAGCAATTTTGGAAATGTTTTTACTTTATCCCTGCCCCATCCCCTCCCCAACTCTTGTGTGTTAATAATTTAGAATTTTAGTTCCAGGATATTATTAAATGCTCTTTTAACATATGTTTTGATGGTTGCAAAATTCTTTATAAATTAATACTGAAGTTTATACATTATTAGTCATTTAGAGAAAACTATAAACTTACAAGAATCATTGTTCACCATCATTTTCATGTTCTTTGTCCTCTGCTATTTTGAGGTCTTTGTTCTGATTTAATTTTTATTTGGTTGCAGCAATGTCCTTGAGTAATTTCTTCAGAAAGGGCACACAGATGTTATACTTTTGAGCTCAAAGATTTCTTTCTTTGTTTTTACATTTAAATGATATATTGGATGAGCATAAGGTTCTTGAGTAAGAGCCTTCTTCTTTAGTAACTTAGTAAATGTTGTTCCACTATATCCCAGTTTCAGTGTAGCAGTTTGATATTAGGTTGATTCTCTTTCCTTTGTAATACCTTCTCTGTCTAGAAGCTTGTGCTCTTTATCCCTGGACTTCATAAATATTGCCAGAGTGTAACTTCTTTCATTAATTTGCCTAGGATTTAGATGGCCACTCCACCCCCCAAATCTGAAAAATCTTTGCTGTTTGTTATAACAGCAATTTTCTTCTGTCACTTCTTTGATCATTACTTCTCTATTTATTTCTTTTTTTCTCTCTAAAATACCTTTTTTTTATATATATATTGGGCCCAGGGTCTGATATCTATGAATTTAGTATTCCTGTGTGTTACCTTTTTGCACGTGGTTTCCATTTCTTCAAGCTTTTGCTCTCTGTTGTGAGATATTATTTCCATTTGTTTTTTCCAGACTATTAATTCAGTTCTCATCAGTGACTATTCTTGCTTGGTTTCTCTATTGAATTTTTAAATTCAGAATAATGCTTTTTTTCTTCCAGATTTTTTTCTGGGATCTAATTGCATCCCCTTAAGAGTTCTTATTACTTTTTTTTTTGGTTATAGTGCTTGTCTGTCTTTTCCATTAGTTCTGCCTCAATAAGAGCCGCCTGTTCTTGTTTCTTTAGTTGAGTCTTAAATTGGTTATGATTTTTCTTTGCCTGCTCATCCCCACACAGTCCAGGCTATTGGTGTCTTTTGATAGTGATGAACTCACAGGTGGTAGAAGGTACAGTTGGAGATTTGGGTCTAATCTCTTGATAGTCAAACAAACTGAAAAACTGGCATCTCTCTGCTGAGGCATGGATGGCAGGCCTTTCTGCTGTCAAGCCACTTGAGAACGGAAAAGTCTGTCCCTTTATAACCCCTGCAGCTTACATCCAAGGCTGACAGCATCCTTTTAACGGAACAACCTTTTAAAAGGCAGTAAACTTCAAGAGGGAAGGGTAAGTATATCTCCATATGCAGAAAAGGATCTATTTAGTATGTAGGTAGGGCCCCTCAGGCAGGTGATAAATCTGTGGTCTTACACCAGACTCTGTTAGAAATGCAAACCTTCACTTGGAACATTTTGGGACCTCTGAAATGCAAATACGATGCCAGAACCTACTCCCCCCCCCCCCCCCCCCGAGAACTCAATAGTTCATCTTCACCAGTGGTCTCCTTGACTCTCATAGTCAGCTATGCTTTTTTCAGCTACAAGTTATTGGAAGGGAGAAGGGTTTGTGAACATACTCCCAGGTCACCATGAACCCTAATTTCTGAATGGTATGCCAAAAGAGGTTTAAGGATTTGTCTTTGTTGTTATTTGAGAGAAAGGGTCATGAAAATGAGTTTGAGTATTGATGTAAAACAAATTATGCCTGTGTAAAAATGGCCATGTGAAAATTATAATATGTTGTACTTGCTCACTACAGAATATATTGGGTTGTCGGGAAAGTCATGACGTATTTTTTTCTGTGTTTTGTTGTAAAAATGCGTCATGACTTTTCCGACAACCCAATCTTTTTCCAACAGAAAAGTTTTGAAAGCAATTTACCATTCTGCTTTCTTATTTCTCTCTTGAAAGTAATTGAACATTTTATTTCCTGATTCTGACCCAGCCTTGGCAGGTATAATGGCTTGCAGGTATCAGTTCCAAAGTCAGTTGTCTGGCAGAAATGTCAAGTCAATCCCAAGTTGTACAAAAAGTGGGAGAGCCTGTGGTTGGCTGGTAGCTAAGCAGGTGCAACCATTTTTTTCACAGGGCAGTTATGGGAAAACATCACTCAGTAAAATGATGCTCTTTTTTTTTTTTAAATTGGGGGGTTGGGGGAGGGGAACAGTGTTGGGGAATTAAGGAAGGAGACCAGCCAAGTTGTTACTCCTCAGTCTTAGTTGTGGAGGGCACCAGTCGCCATCTGGTGCCCATCGGCAGCTCGTGGCCTCTAAGCTCAAGGTGCTGTATTCAATCTTAATTGTGGGTGGGCGTAGCCACCATCCCATGCAGGAGTTGAACCAGCAGCCTTGTTGTTAAGAGCGCTCACTCTATCTACTGAGCCATCCAGGTGGCAGCTCAGCTCAAGGTGCCAAGTTCAGTCTTAGTTGCAGGTGGGCATAGGCACCATCCCATGCGGGAGTCAATCGGCATCCTTGTTGTTAAGAGCGCATGCTCTATCCACTGAGCAATCCGGGTGACAGCTCAGCTCAAGGTGCCGAATTTAGTTCCAGCTGTGGGTGAGCATAGCCCACCACTGAACTGGCAGTCTTATTGTTAGGAGCATGTGCTGTCACCAGCTGAGCCATCCTTCTACCCGTTGGCAGCTCAGTGGCTGTTCAGCTTGGGTGCAGCGTCACTGGTCCATGTGGGAATTGAATCGGTGGCCCCGTTGCTCAGAGATCACACTCTTAAGCTAACTCTTAACCAGTTAAGTCACTCGTCCTGCCCAAATCATGCTCTTTTAACCCTCAAAATCCTCCCCTTTGCATTTGACTTTATTTACAGATAGCCTTGGACACCAGTTACTGGACTGTCATTAATCACGTCTTCATCTGGGGCAGCATTGCCACTTATTTCTCCATTTTATTTGCAATGCACAGTAATGGCATGTTTGACATCTTCCCAAACCAGTTTCCTTTTATTGGTAAGTGAATCCTACTATCTACTGGGACCTACGGCCATGCGGTCATTTATCTATCTGTAATTTATTTTCTATGTTTGGTGGGACTAGGGAGGTCAATAATCCTTTATCTAGGAATTGATTACATTGGAAATACCTGAAGGTTTCCAGGATTGAAAAGGTCTCCAAAAGATCAGTTTCTGCTGTCCCTACCAGGTGAAGAAGAATCACTGAGATAGCTGCTTACAGGTTTCCAACAGCCCAGATGCAGTAAACTGCCCCTTTGCAAACAAGAGGCATAGCATATTATCAGGGCTACCTGAAGACTTGTGAAAAGTTCATGTATAATAAAGGAAAGAGAAAGAAATGGTAGGCTCTGCCTCTTATACCACATTATCTCCAACATCTCTGCCACAGTTTACCAGTGAAACTTATTTGCACTTATATAAGAAAGACATTTAGAGCCTTCTAAAAATTATGGAATATAAAGTAGCATGAAGAGTAGGCTCTGTAGATAGATGGCCAGGGTTCAGTGTCAGCTCCACCACTTACAAGCCAAGTAACCTTGGGCAAGTTTCTTTTCCTTTTCATGCCTTAATGTTTTCACTTCTAAACTGGGGATACTAATAGTTCCTAGTTCATAGAAAATTTGTAAGGGTAGTTGATATAACACATGCAAAATGCTTAGCATATAGCATTCTATGTAGTATTTTTGAAATAAATGTTAACAATGATGGCGATGATGGTGATAATAATGCTTCTTCAAGCAATTGTGGCTTGATTACTGGTTGAGGACGTTGCCGAGTGATTTGAGCAGCAGATGGGTAGCAATGAACCTCCTAAAATCCCTTAAAATCCTGAGATTCTATGATTCTACAAATAGTGTACGTCTGGTCTGTCTATGAAGTATACTACCATTGCTCGTCACATTTCAAAATGATTCCCAGCAAGGGCCACTGAACTTTACACAATGAGGCTACTAATATACTTTCTCAGAAGTTTTGAAATTTCTAGAGTGTGTGAGGTAAGTTGGTAACAGTGATGTCTCTGAGTTTATCCCAGCAAGCTGGAAAGGAGACATGCACAGTGATAACCTTCTTGAACTCAATCAAGCAAGACAGATGGCATCTACTGGTTGAGGAATCCAGTCTACACATGAATTCTTAGAAGACTGATTCACATAGAAAGCAAAATAAGAGCAACTATAGTGCTATACATTTCCAGTGATGCAAAGGCATCTGAAATCGTCATTCCACTTAAATGCACCCATACACTTAAGAATGTTATTCTTCAACTTTTGCCTTGCCCTGTGTGTACATGGAAGTCTTAAATTGTACCACTCTTAATATGTAATGTTAATACTTTGTATACCAAAAGATTCCAGCCATTTAGAAACATGATGGCTAAAAATAAGAATAAGCATATTAGGAAAGAAAGACATTAAAACTATTTTTAAGTGTTTTTTTTTTCTGGTTGCCAAATCTGAAAGTTCAGTGCATTGACCAAAAGATTTCCAGTCCTAAGAGAGCATTCTAGCATGTGTAATGAGACTGGAATGCCTTCACTGGAGAAAGTAGTTTGTGCGGGGACTACTCTCTCCAGCTAAGCACATGTCATTCCAGGAATTAATTACTGGGCTCCAATGAGACTTTTCAAAAGTTAGATCAACATTGGGGTTTAAGAAAAAATTTTTTTTCCTTAGTAGCCAGCAGCAAACAGGAGTGTGGTTTTAAAGCGAAGCTTGTTTTTTTTTTCTAGCTATGCCTCAGGGTACTGAGCTTCAAGCAGCCCAAAGAGCCATTTAATTTATTGAGTCAAGTTTGTTTCTGCCCGGCAACTAGAACCAACTGTTCTTTGGTAGACAGACTCTATCCTCCAAAGCCAGGAAATGCAGGCATACCAATCAGTAGCCAAACCATTGTCTTCAAAGGCCATTCAAATGGTGTTAATACTTTAGCATTAGGAGAGAGAACCTGGGTAATTGGAGGTATCATGGTAAACCCCTAGAAAACCAACAGGAACAAAAGTTTACTTTAGTGATGTAAGTAGGGTTGACGTCTTCTGTAGAACTTGTCTGTCTTCTTTACTGATCCTTAATGGTTTGTTTAAACAAACATCCCAGCAGATGAGGTGTGAGTATAAAGTAAGCAAACTGGCTCCAGGCCTGGAAATGAGTTTCACTACTGTATGCATTAGCATGATGGATGGCTGCATCAGTGGTTTCCCAGTGAGAGGAATGCTCTTTTCACAAACTCAGGAACATCCCTGATCTCCTGGGAACCTTGAGTACCTTATAACAGAGTGACAGTCAGAGAGATCAGCAAGCCCCTTTGAGGCAGGTTTTCTGCGGCTGTTGCCTGAATTGAAAAGGTTGGCCCTGTAGTAGATATAGTTCACCTTTTATGACATAGCCAGTCACCAAGATCATTGTTTGAAATTGTACCTGCAACCAAGATATACATTTTGTAGTTTTCTTATGATAGATAGTGAGGGAGAGCAGTGTTTGCCACCCCCAAAAATGTGCCTTTTGGAGGGATATTTAATTTTAAGCTGGTTATTTTTTAAGAAACAAAAGATTCAAGAAGAATCTTGGACCTTTCCCCTGACTGCCTAAAAGGATTTAGATAGAGGACCTGCTCCAGGAAGGGAGATACCATGAACTAGTTGTGATACAGAGGGAGGAAACTAGCAAGGCTGCTTGATCAAAGTCCTCTGTGTCCCATTGTTACAGATGGCCCAGCAAACATTTATTTATCAGACATTTGCTTCTCCATCTCCATGTGAATTACCTTCCTCCCCTCTGAAGACCAAACCACTAGCTTCCCCCTCACCCTGTCCCCTTTTCCCTTAGCTCAAGATGGCATATATGCCTCAACTGCCAAGGCAAATGTGCCTTTTAGAAGTAATGACTGCATTGTAGTCAAAGGATCTTGAGTTTGGATGAGAGAATAATGCTTCATGAGTGAAGCTGGAGTGAGCCTAGATAAGAGAACGCTTGGCTCCAGCTGACTGTCTCCTACTGATCAGGCCACAGAGCAGTTCCCAAGAGTTATCTCACCACTGTTGACTTCTCCTCATCCCCACTGAACACACTGTATACTGAAGAAAACACCTGATGGCTTTCCCTAGATAGTCCAAACCTCAACATATCATAAACAATCTCGTGGGAATAGACAACGAGGCTATTAATTCAGCAATTCGACTCTATTTATAACCACAGTGTATATTTTTCTTCAACAATAGGAAATGCACGCAATTCCCTTACCCAGAGGTGCGTCTGGCTTGTTATTTTCCTAACAACAGTGGCTTCAGTTATGCCAGTGGTGGCACTCAGATTTTTGAAGGTGGATTTATTCCCAACCCTGAGTGATCAGGTACGTGGTAGTGCTGATGAGTACTTGGAGGGCTGGTCTTTGGCTCTTGGAATTGTGTTCCTCTCTGCCTGATTGGAAGCCCAGGGAAGAGCTAATGAATATGGACAAACACGCGCAGGTACACAGCATCGCATCACAGTAGATGGGACAGCCTGTATCTGAATGTACTAGCCTGTGAGTGCCGCTGAAGATAAATGTCTACAATAGAATCAACATGGGAGAGAAGTAAAAAATTACAAGTTAAGTTGGATATTTTTAAAAGTTGACTGTTGAAAAAGGAGCTCTCTGGCAGCATTTTGGGCCATTGCTCTAAGACAAAGGCAAGCTACAGGGAAAGTTATTAACTGGGAAGCAAACACGAGGTACAGTAAAAGAGAGGCAATCAAGGTATGCAGTGAAGGGACATTAGGTTTGTGGAAATATAGTACAATAGCAGATTCAAAACATGGGGAAGATGTTACTTTCTGAACAGGTTAAGAAAGGGTACAGCAGCATGACAGATGCATTGGAAAATATACAGTTAGAAGGAAAATAGAAAGAACAGATTGTAGAAATACCTAAACCAAGGGATTCACAATATTTCATGGGAAGAGGAATATAAGCAGGACAATGTCAAGTTAGGTCAGAACCCAGATAAAAAAAGAAAAAAAGAAAGAAAGAGGAAATACACATTTGTAGCCACATCATGAGAAGCAGAAAAACATTGATGGGGTGAGTGACCAGGCCAATGATACTGAGAGAAACTGAGGCAGAACTTGCCTTGTCATGATATCCCTCACATTCTGGGGCCAGAATATGAAAAGATTCATTCTGAAATGACTCACGGTGTCCCCTGTTTTATCTGTCCTTTCATTTTGGCTCTGCAAGCTCATTCTTATGTAAACCCAGAAAATGATGGATGAGCTCAAAGAAGAAAGATGATGCTCATTTCTTCCTATATTTAGTCAGGTCATGATTTTCAGCTTCACAGCTTTCTCCTGACACAAAACTGAGACTCCAAGCAAGCGGGTGAATCAGAGAACTGATTTGGCTTGCACCGAACCTTGCCTCTTTTTCTCCATAACTTTATAGGGACATGAAAGAAATATCAGAAACCCACCCAAATGTGTTGACCTCTTCAAAAACCCATAAAAACCCCCAAAGAAAGCTCAAAACTGAAAATCTCATGATGCATTGACCTACACAAAAGTTGGAAATTTTTGGTTCTCATTTTCTAAATTTTGCCCTTGTCTAATTACTAATGACTGTTGAATCCTGAGAATCTTTAAAAGAGAGGAACAAGGCCTTTTTGGGGGGTGGGAAATGGGACTATAAATTGTTACACTGACTGTGTTTGGGTGATGCATGTTAGAAAACCTTTCTGTACAAAAGTATGTTTCTATTCATTTAAAATGGATGTATGAGATGGCGACAATAAGGAAATTTGCCTTAACACTTCTCACGTAATAGTCCCTTGGTAGAAATAAAAAACTAACCAGTGCCCAGTGTAACCTTTTAGGCAGACAAAGTCTTCATTTTTAGGTGAAAAGCTTGTTTTTCACCTAAATGAAGTTGGGTATTTTATTATTGTTGATGTTGTTTTGACTGAAGAGGCTTTCACTTCACCAAGTGGCCCATCGGTGGAGTCCAGCATTTGCACCGTCTCACTCTGGGTTCCCTTCCTTTCCAGATCCGCCAGCGGCAGAAGGCTCAACGGAAAGCAAGGCCACCATATAGCCGAAGGCCTCAGACTCGTAGATCAAGCTCAAGAAGGTCTGGATATGCTTTCGCTCACCAAGAGGGCTATGGGGAGCTTATCACATCTGGAAAAAATATGCGAGCTAAAAGTCCACCCCCAACTTCAGGGGTGGAAAAGACACCGTATAATAGCACTAGCTGGATTGAAAATTTATGTAAGAAAACCACAGACACCATGAGCAGCTTTAGCCAGGATAAAACAGTAAAACTGTGAGTCAAGATGAATTTCAACCACACAGTTATCTTTTCACTTCACCTGGAGCTGAAATTCATCTGGCTCCGGAGTTTGGGATCAGGAGCTAGGAGTGGGGCAGATTGCCTCACTTAACTTAAATCCATGCAGACAGCTGCTGGTGCCGTCAAATAGAGGTGTACTCTACCGGAAAGCAAGCCAGGTGGTCACTATCTAATTCGTGATTTGGCAGAAAAAACCCTCACGATACAAGCACAGGTTTTTTATCAACCTAGATACCAACTGACCTGAACTTAGGATCTTATTTATGGAGAAAAACTTGTAAATCTTCATATACATTGAATAGACCTTCAGGTGGATAAAAGGGTGCATTCCAAAGGTATATATCCCAGCTGAAAAGCATTTTTGTTGAGAAACAAACACATACATGAAAGATCAGCCTTTCCCAAGATATACTTTCAAGATATAAAATTGTACTAAGGTACTTTCAGACTAAGAGGGGCTTGTCAGTCTTCAGTGTTATCAGCCTGTGTGTTCAGTGAGAGCAAAATCAAGTTCATGCCTGAAGAACAGAGAAACGTGTTGGTGTCCCTCATTTTTTCATTAGTCTAGAGACCAAGTAGATTGACCATCTTTATGGTGAGATACGCTGGTAATTCGGTCAAATTTATTCAAAAAGCTCTCAGGGACATGTTCATGAAATGTCAAAAAAAGGCTATCTAGCAAGTATTCTAAATACTTTTCAATGACTTTTATTACAACCTCAGTGGCTATTTGCCCAGTGTCATCCAGAACCATTAATGGGAGTATCAAAGCATTGGAATTTCACACTTGAATGACAGTATTCCATACAGTGTATGGGAAAATCCTTTCAACATTTCCTATTTTTAAAAGTTCCATTTGAAACCAAACAAATTAATAAACATTCTCTTCAAGAACTACTTAAATATTCAGGCTTAGGTCATACAGAGTGAGTTGCTTTTGGTATTCAGCTGTAATGTTTATAATTCCAATATATAAACATATGTAGGTGAGGTTGATTTTTTTTTTTTGAGATGTTCCAGTCCAAATGTGAATGATCAGTATAGTTCCCATAAAAGAATTCAGGCAGATTTGTGTTCAAACTCAGCTCTATTGCTTCTTACCTCTGTAATGCTGAGCAGGTAACGTGCCTCCTCTGAGACTCAGTTTCTTCCTCTGTGAAATGGGGATACACTATCTACCTCATGTGGTTGGTTGAGGACTGTCAAAACACAAATTCTCAAATCATTAAAAACATAATTCTCATATGAATAGATGATGAGTTAAGTTCCATTTGACTCATCATCAGAATAACAGAGCAATTTGAAGAGAATGTGAAGAACGAGAATTTAGTCAGTGGGAAAGGCCTTGATGAAATGAGATTGCAAAGTAAGATGTAAAACTGGTTAGTGTCCTATAGGGAAATAAAACTAAAACCTTGGAGGTGAATTTCCCTACCAAAAGCAAAAATAACTCATCCTCATGCCTTTTCAATGTCTTACAAATCAACCTTCAACTTTATAGGGTCCTTAATCTGGTCTGTATTGAATTATTAGTCAAACAAAGTTGTATGTCCCGAGAGAGTCTGATAGCCCTTGTGTGGGCTTGATGAATATTGAATTAGCATGATATTAATAAAGCACACAATCCTGGTGGGTTTTTTGTTTGTTTGTTTGTTTGTTTTGTTTTATTTTGCCTTAATTTCCAAGTCTGGGATAATTTTTCCAGAATGGAATAAAATGAGGTATGTGTCGAAGAGCCTAATATACTGCTTTAATCAAGTAAATGCTCATAGATGTTCCCTGTTCCCCCACATGCTGTGTTGACTTACCCAGATGTTAGTTTTCAGTGTCTAATTTGTGATTAGTTTAACTGTGTTTGCTCACTTTCTGTAACATTTTTGAAAGATTTGAAAACTCTCAGTAAATGTTTTGGCACTATTGGTGTTTGATGTTTTGCCTCTTCTTTATTGGGAACTCATTGGGAAGAGTTTTTGTTACATTGGTCAACTGATTTTTTTCCCCCTCTCCTTTATATGCCTGGGGAAAGTGTACATCATTCTTAGGATCAAAGTCAAGAATAAAACAAATGAATTGGATCTATGTGTAAGGGATGGGAAAGATTAGGAATGGTCCAAGTTTGTAAATTCAGTTCAAATTAAATAAGGCTGTTTATAAGCAGATAATGTGGATGATTGTGAGAGAAACACATTATCAACTTACTTTGGCCCCATGAGATTCAAATAAGCTCACACACCCATTGCGAGATCATTTGATTACAAGTGCCAGGGATTATTTTGAACCTGAAGAAAAAGAGCCCGAGGGGTGGTTGGTGATGGCAGTGCACTGGGGAATAATAAAATTTTAATTTTACATAAACATTATCAGATTATTTGGAAAGAAAACTTTTTTTTTTCCTTCTAGATTCAGGACTGATGTTGGTAACCTTGAGTTTTTAAAGTCTCAGTCCAAGTTTTGAGCTTTAACTGGCAATTACAAATTGCATTCCCCTGGCATAGATCTGCTATCTTTGTCTCTCTCATCTGCCTCCAAGCATGCATACCTATGAAGTAAAGAGAGAGGGATAAAGAAAGCCAGAAAGATAAAGCAAGAGAGGAAGAAAGCAATGGAGAGAAGAGAGGAGAGAGAGAGATAAAAGTTTCCAGTTATGTATCTCATAACTGGAGGTGATGTGACTCTCTGAAAAAATAAATTTAACCCCTCAAAGGAAAAAATTAGATTGTATTTGAGAAGTGAATAACAAAACTTCCTTTATAGTCAGTGAGATCAAGAACATTTTATTGGAAAGGGGACCAGGTGCTCTGGCTTCTCAGCGATGCTGCTGAGCTGTGTTCGGCGGGGCAGGCCACCTGACTTCCCCAGGCCTTCGTGTCTCAGTCCATCAATGCAGAAACCAGGCAGCATGGTCTCAAACACCCTTTCTCACTCACCCATTCTGTGAGCTGTTTTTGCCAGTGTTGCTGACTGTAATTGTTTTGATTGGTGGGAGGGAGGCGGGCGCTTGGCTCTCGTAATGGTTTCTATTTCTCTAGAACAGCACCTGGCGTCCTGCTGTCTTTCAGGTCACCACAGAGGTGCTAAACCCTATAGTAGAACTTTTTCCTGGCTCAGTTGAACACACTCCATTTCTTGCTAAAGATTCACTAACATCTTATATCCATGCTCTCCTTCCCTTGCCATCATTTTAAATATCAAAAGTATATAGAAACAAAGGTAAGACACTCCTGCTCAGTAAGAAGAAAGTCACTGTAAAGTTTTTTCTACCTTGTCCTTGGGCTTGGAGGAGATGTTTTTTTTAAACTTTATTGGGGAACAATGTGTTTTTTTGGGGGAACGATGTGTTTTTTTTCTAGGACCCCTGAGCTCCAAGTCAAGTTACTGTCCTTCAGTCTTAGTTGTGGAGGGTGCAGCTCAGCTCCAAGTCCAGTCATAGTTTTCAATCTAGTTGCAGGGGGGCACAGCCCATCATCCCATGTGGGAGTCGAACTGGCAACCTTGTTAAGAGCACATGCTCTCACCAGCTGAGCCATCGGCTGCCCTGAGATTTTTTTTTTTAAATGAAATTTATTGGGATGACATTGGTTAACATTAAATAACTTTCAAAGTACAATGCTATAATACGTCATCTGTATATTGCACTTTGTGATCACCACCCAGAGTCTAGTGTCCTTCCATCACCATATATTTGGACCTCTTTACCCCTTCTTTCCTCCCTCCATCCCCTTCCCCTCTGGCAACCACTGAGTTGTTTTCAGTGTCTATGACTTTTTGTTTGTTTGTTTGTCATATTTGTTTGTTGCTTTCTGTTTTATATTCCACATGAGTAAAATCATATGGTTGTTGTCCTTCTCAGTCTGACTTTTTTTGCTTAGTATGACACTCTCAAGATCTGTCCATGTTGTCACAAATGGCAGCATTTCATCTTTCCTTATGGCTGAGTAGTATCCTGTTGTATATATGCACCACATCTTACTAAACCAAACATCCATTCATTAAAGGACATTTAGGTTGTTTCCGTGTCTTGGCTACTGTGAATAATGCTGCAGTGAACATAGGGGTACATATCTCTTTACGAATAAATGTTTTCAGATTTTTCAAGTAGATACTTGGAAGAGGGATTGCTGGGTCATATGGCAGCTGTATTCTTAATTTTTTGAGGAAGCTCCTGTCTGTTTTCCATAGTAGCTGCACCAATTTACACTCCCACTAGCAGTGAATGAGGGTTCGTTTTTCTCCACAGCCTCTCCAACACTTGGTATTTCTTATTTTATTGATAGTAGCCACTCTAACAGGTAAAAGGTGAGATCTCATTATGGTTTGATTTGCATTTCCCTAACAGCTAGTGAAGTTGAGCATCTTTTCATATATCATTTGGCCGTTTGTATGTCTTCATGGGAGAACTTTCTGTTCAGGTCTTCTGCCCTTTATTTAATTGGATTATTGTTGTTGTTGTTGAGTTGTATGAGTTCTTCATATATTTTGCATATTAGCCTCTTAGCAGAACTATTGTTTGTAAATATCTTCACCCGTTCAGTTGGTAGCCATTTTATTATTGATGGTTCCTTTTGCTGTGCAGAAGCTCTTTAGTTTGATGTAGTCCCATTGATTCATTTTTGCTTTTATTTCCCTTGTCTCTGGGGTCAAGTTCACATAAGCCTTTCTGAGACTGAAGTCCCGAAGTTTAGTACCTATGTTTTCTTCTATGTATTTTATTGTCTCAGGACTTATATTTAAGACTTTAACCCATTTTGAATTAATTTTTGTGTGTGGTATCAAACAGCAGTCTAGTTTAATTCTTTTGTATTTGGCTTTCCAATTTTCCCAACACCATTTATTGAAGAGGCTTTTAGAGGAGATTCTTTAGGCCTCAGCTTCCTCTGGATTCAAGTTGAAACCACACAGTTTGAGTGATTTTTCTTCATAGTTATATAGAAATTTTCCATTTATGTATCAGCTTATGTACTCACACAAACTGTATTTTTTGAGCCTTACAACAATTTTCTGCAGTGGTTACAACGTTCATATTAAACCCACTTTTAGGAAGAGGAAACTGAGGCACAGTGAGGTTAAGTGCTTTGCCCAATAGCACCAGAAAGTAAAAAAATGTAGTACTCCCTCAGATCTGACAGCAAATCCAGAGCTTCTTACCTACAACTCCTCATTCCACATGAAGCTCTCCTCATAGACACAAGATTCCTAAATCGTCCATCTGCCTTCTAAAACAGTCATTTGATTTCTCAAATATACGGATTCAGGGAAGGAGTGCAAATAAATGTCAAAGTGTTTTGAAATGTATTTTTCAGATGTTCTCTTTCCCTCCCAATGCAAACAAGAAAGAGTTCCTTCCTTCCTTCCTTTCCCTATGCATTTCATGAAGTTAGATAGGTGTGGAGTGCAGACAAAGGAAATAAACATACCTCAAACTATTTTTTTAATTTCTAGAAAATACAAAAAAATCAGAAAGGCTGCACTTCTGATTTTTATGGTAAAGATGTGCATCACTCTGTTAGTGTGGTCACAAAATACCTCAAGATTGATATGTTCTAATTGTGTCAGTTAAATCACTCAGAATTATTATTTTATATTTAAAAAATTAGACATAGTTTAATAGTGGAAGAAGCCAGAAATTATGATGCCTTCTGGCCTGTGATGGACTTCTGAGGGTCAGGAGTCAGATAGTTATATGGGACCACAATTTTCCAATTTTTACATTAACATCTGGTATTAAACGTCTTCAGTTTTCTGTACTGCGTCACATTTCATTCCTTGGTGAGAAATCATAAACTTTTGCAATGCTCTAGCCTAAGAGTTTCACTGAACTGCCTGGAAGCCAGAACTAAATGACCCATGTGTTTCAAAATGCTCATTGCAAAATATTTGGAGGGCCTGGCTGGGTGAATCTGTAGGTCTGGAGCAATGACTTAACCCAGAAAGAGGCCTATCTGTCCTTGCGTTTCAAAACTTCCTGGCAAATCTATTCCTGTAACTGGTGCATAATGCAAATCAGCTTGGAGTTGCCTACATAAACATCCAGAGTTCAAGAAATAAAAATGACGAGTTGGCCTGATATCTGGCTACTTCAATTCAGATTCCTGTAAGGTTCGTAAGGGCAAGTTTAAATTTTTAATAAACTGCAGCCCTGATCTTATACAGAAAAATTTTATTGGACCAGGATGTATAGATGATGCTTAACTTCATTTGAAAGTAATGGTCGAGGAGAAATCTGGTTGTTTTATCATTGTCACAAATGTTTCTCTACTCCCCACCTTCTTCTAGGAGAGGGTAAGCACTGGATAGGATATTTCTTTGATGGTTGATGATTTTGCTTCTGGTGCACTTACTGACTCTCTCTCTTCTCAAGATGCAGCAACATAAAAGTACAGGCGATGCACGGAAAATGGACAGGAATTACACTGACTCTAGGATATCCCCTGAAAAGGTTTTGACTAAAATTCTTGTATTCAGTATTAGATTTTTCTTGCTTTTCCATCCTCAACTTCCAATGTATGTGTCAATATAAGGAAGAAAAGACAAGGCTATTTTCTTTAAAAGTTACCTTACCTGCTTTTGTTTCTGCAGTAGAAAGTCAGCACATACCTTGAGCTAACACCAGGCATGTGTTGATTTTCCACGGA